ATCCAAAAAAATACTCAATGCTCTTGAGTGACTCTAAAGTCTGCTTTGACCTAATCACACATGGCAAACAATAAGAAAATCTCTCCTCTTGAATATCACACCATGGACATTTGCATGCTTTCGTTCACTCTTTTAACGGAAAACACAAATATGACACGACTACAAACACACGCTCTGCTCCTGCTTTAATGCAAACAAACCTTCTGATGCTCAAAGCGTGATTTTGAGGCTGCATGTGACAGATCTTCATCAGTGAAGAAAAATGAAGTGCTGGAAGTGAAAATAGAGGGCTTTTTTCCCCCTGAGTGACAGTTCATCAGCAGGCCACTGAGATCTGATTCCATCTGTTTCTGTCACTGTTGATTATTTTTCATTGATTTCATTGAACAAGGAAAATAGTGATTTAACCTCATTAACTTTGTGAGAGGTTTGTTTCCCATTAGTGCCTAAATTAAGTTTTTCCAAGTGAATCGTCATAGACAGGACCCTCAGGACACACTGTCAGTTGCAAAATGATTTACCTATTTAGAGTCAAAATTTGTTTAATGAATGCATGTGTTCCTGAATGTGCTTCATTTGCCATTTTTAGTACTGACTTGTTTGTGCTGCTGCAATTATTTTAATTATTAGACCATAGTGCAATTTCAAACAATATGTATTTGAAATTATTGTTACCATGCAATAAAGGTTCTGAATTTATATAAGATGAATTCAGTACTTTAATTTAATGTAATTAATTGCATAGAAAATAGGGTGAGAAAATGAATTGTAAAGTCAATGTAATGTTTTTGTCTTAGTCTTGGGGACTTTCAGCAAATATTCATTTACAATGAATTTACATTTTGTGCATTTTTATTATTTTCCCTTCATTTGTTCCATCTCTTCTCACTATATAGTGAAATTGTGGTTAAAAAAAATAGAAATGCAATAATAAAATTGTTGATTGACAGAGCATTTTTTAAAACATTTTTCTAGCGTGTTTCTTTTGTTTCTATTTTTATCTATTCTGTTTGATAACGCAAAAAGAAAAACTAGACTGCACCATGAAAGCAGCGTTAATTGTGTCATCACTATAGAGATTTTACTAGCATCGGCTTTTAAAGTCTTGCTATGTACATCATACACTAAACATACGGCTCTAACACCACGCCATAAATATGTAACAAATTAAACCAGTTAAGAACGTCACAGGAAAATTGGTGAAGTTAGGCATGTTTTGTATACATATAACTTACACTAAAATAAAGACAGATGCATTTAGTTTGCCTTCTCTTCGAATTCAGCTGAGCTAAAGCAAAACCACATTTTCAGGATCCTTCGCTGGCTGCATGTCGTTTTAACTCTCCAGTATCTAACAAGGGAAAAAACTAGTTTACCTTCACAAAGTCTCTTGACAGTGTCATGCAAATGTACATAATGGGAACTGCCAGAGGTTGGAGGCTGATTGACGTGTATCCTCCACACTGTACCATGCACTGATGACAGCATGTCTGTCATGGCTGCCAGGGTTGAATAATTAGATGACTTACCACCCACAATTTAAGGAGACCCATATATGAACATTTACCCTACAGAGGACACAATTTTGGATTAAATTCACCATGGATTTGCTAAGGGATGGAAACCTTTCAAGTTGTTTGCATAAATGTTTTATATTTCTATAAAATGAATTTAACAAGAAAATAACATGAAAAATAATCATGCAGTTAGTTACACTGATTGCCATCATTAGTTTTATGTATTAATTTAGTACGACTTATTAACATTTTTAATCAGCGTGTCTTCTGTTTTTATTTGAATTTTAGTAATTTTGTTGTGTTTTTGACATTTTTAGTCGTTTTAGTTTTTTTGTCCATCTATATTTTAATTAATTTTTATTTCAGTTTTAATTGAGTTATTTTAATATCAAATAGAACGTAATACGAAAATGACAAAATATAACCCATTGTGTCTGACAGTATTGTGTGTCCTGGGAAATATTAGCCATTATGTACTCATATTATTCAGCATTACATTATAGACCACTAGAAATAAAACAACAAGCACAGCTAAAATTTGTTAACCTGTTTTGAATTAGTCTGTTCTGTCCTTATTCAAACATATTAGTCCTTAACATAAACTACAACTAAGTATCATCGGTAGAGGAAAACCTGTTGACATACAGACATGTAAGTTTTGAAACTGCATACACAGCTGTTGTTTAGCTCATTTGCTTTGCTGAAGGTTAAACCAAACAAGTGTTTTATTACAGCGGTTATGGTTTTGTTTTGTCCCATACAAGGCCGACTCGACTACGTGAGGATAATTAAATGATTTCAGATGGTAAAAAACAGGAAAGCAAACCCATAATTAACACCGCTGTCTTGCGATGCACAAGCTCACTATGTTTCTGATACATCAAAGAAAGCCTGTGGCCTCTTGTTAAAACTCAACAACATCTCACGCTGCTGTAAACCTTCCACAAAACACACAGGCAGCACTTTCCTCCAACGCAAAATAACTGTAAACGTTTAATTACATTCATAAAGTAGATAGAGGCAGTAAATCACCCATGCGTATGTGTGTGTAATATAATAACAGAACAAATGCATTACAATAACTGTTCTTCGCATTAGGGGGCTGCGGTTGGGTGGAGTGTGTGCAACAGTGGCATGCTTGTATGGAAGAAGGTGCCTGTGACTGTGCCAGTTTCTCCTGTAGTAAATACATAAAAAATCCCATATAAACTATTCTAGGCCTTGCGGCTTGTGTTGAGTGCATCTTGAGGTGGGGTGAGTGGGCTGCAGGCACAGTGTGGGTGCTGATGGGGGCTCAGGGTGGGCCAATTTCATCTTGCTGATGGGTACACTTCAAGAATTATGACCAGATGTTCATTAATGAACTTTTAGAAGACCACTGGGAGAGATGCAGAACAAATGCAAGAACTATGTTGGTCCACAAACAAATAGTGCTAAAACTATATACATCATGGGCTTTTTTTGCAGATGAAATGTTAACAAAAGCAAGCCAAATATACACACATATATACATATATAGCTAAGAATTGAGTGACTTTCATGGTTCTGTGCGTGCATTTTTTAGAATGGCATACTTAAAGGGTTAGTTCACCCAAAAATGAAAATTCTGTCATTAATTACTCACCCTCATTTCGTAAGTTCAACCCTAATTTTACAAAAGCTGAGAGAATGCTTTTGGAAGCAAGCGCATGCGTCATGATAATCTCTCCAAAATGGTAGCACGCCACAGCATAAGGGATGAGGAGGAGAAGAATTGATGAATAAAGTCGTTATTTTTGTTTTCTTTGCACACAAAAAGTATTTTTGTAGCTTCGTAAAATTACGGTTGAACCCCTGATGTCACATGGACTATTTTACCGATGTCCTTGCTACGTTTCTGGACCTTGACTGTGGTAGTCTCCTTGCTGTCTATGGGAGGGTCAGAGAGCTCTCGGATTTTATCAAAAATATCTTAATTTGTGTTCCGAAGATGAACAAAGGTCTTATGGGTTTGGAACGACATGAGGGTGAGTAATTAATGACGTAACTTTCATTTTTGGGTGAACTAATCCTTTAAGTGTTCCCTGAAGTGCAAAACATGTAGCGCACCCAGTGAAGTCTGATTTCCAACTCTTATGAACAAATGCAAGAACTAGTTGTTGTTTCAGTGTCTCAAATAGATTTATCCTTATACGAATAAGCTAAAAGTGAAGTACAATTCCCAAGCTAATTAGTATGAACTGTTTCTAAACAAATACAACAAAAACTCTGAGTCAGTTCTTTTTAGTGAATCACAAATACATACGAATCAGTTGGAGCAGTTTTTTTTAATTAATCTGACTCACGTCCTGAACTGCAAGTTAAGAATTTCGTCATGTCCGACTCCATGAACTAAGAATTTGTAAGGCTTGCAAGATTTATTGTAAATTACTTTAGTACTGACTATCTTCAGATTCAAAAGAATCAGTAATAGAATCATTAAGGGACCAGAATCGAAAATAGGAATTGAATATAGAACTGTTAAATTCCTTGCGATTACTACTTGTACCAGCAAGATCTGTGCAAACAATAAATGGCTCATGGTTCATAGCATCTGTTTGAAGTTAAACAAAACAGACATCACTCCAATATACTTAAATGATCACTTTAGAATGTTTTCTTCTTTTTAGTGAATCACAAATACATACGAATCAGTTGGAGCAGTTTTTTTTAATTAATCTGACTCACGTCCTGAATTGCAAGTTAAGAATTTCGTCATGTCCGACTCCATGAACTAAGAATTTGTAAGGCTTGCAAGATTTATTGTAAATTACTTTAGTACTGACTATCTTCAGATTCAAAAGAATCAGTAATAGAATCATTAAGGGACCAGAATCGAAAATAGGAATCGAATATAGAACTGTTAAATTCCTTGCGATTACTACTTGTACCAGCAAGATCTGTGCAAACAATAAATGGCTCATGGTTCATAGCATCTGTTTGAAGTTAAACAAAACAGACATCACTCCAATATACTTAAATGATCACTTTAGAATGTTTTACATTAACTGTTCAGGCCATTTATGCAGATTAGAACCTTGAGATTAATATTGTATAATCTCAAATTAATTTCAAATTGTTTGTTTTCTGAAGTAATTAATTCCCTTTTGTGTAAGGATTCCAAATGTCTTCTTTTGTATTCCATGCAAGAACATCATATGGATTTAGAACAACATGAAAGTGAATAAATTATGACAGAATTTACATTATTTTATTATTTACGCCAAGATTTGAGCAAATACATTGGAGGGGCTTTCTAGAATTTTGTATGAAATGATTGCTAAAATTGTTTAATTTGCTTACACTAACATATGCATCCATTTTCTCTATAAAAATCAGGCCTTTCTCAACTAGTTATCGATTTCTGCCTACAAAGCATTGCTGTGGAACTCTCTTTATTGTCTCAGGTTTCTTACACAAACTACCCTTGTTTCATCTTGATATTTGTTTTGCTGTATGTCTGAGGTTCTGCCAGATGTGTTGTGGGTGGCTGTACAGGAGACTTGCAGTGAAGTCCTGGATCAGAGCCTGGACTGGTCTCTGAGCAAAACTGCTAATTCAAGCGGTTTGGGCACAAATATAGATTCGGGTGACATGATTCAGGAGACATGCCAAAATCTTTTTGTTCTGGTGACCTCTAATAACTTAAGTCACAAGACACAGGTTAATTATGTCAATCAATGCCACATCATGCCAGCTGGGACAGTACATAAAATATTAGGCGCTGTTCACATAAGAATTTGAATGATAGAAATCGTAAAATCTGTAATTATTGTCACCCATTAACATTAAGTATTATAAGAGAGAATTTACATTATTTTAAAATGTTTCATGCATTCATATTGTTTGCTATTGGACATGTAAATCTTTGAGACCAAAATCCTTGTTTTACACTATAACAAATAAGTGTAATTTTAACTGTAAAATTTTGTAAAAACGCTACGGAAAAAAACTGTTAATAGGTTAACAGTAATTTCCCGTACTATATACAGGGACAAACTGTAAAATATCTAACCAGACATTTAATGTAATTTTACAGTAAAAATAGCAAATCAATGTATAATTTAAAGTCAAAAACTGTAAACTGACATTCCCAGAATTCCCTGCATGACACTCCACATTTGAAAGTATTTTGTTTAAATAATCATGTTTTTTAAATAGTTTTTGTTATTAGTTATGTATATTTGGGCTTTATGTTACGTCTTCTGTTGTTTAATGAAAGTTGAATGCATTATTTAAGTATCATGTGTGTTACCATGATGGTGTTTTGTGTTTGCATGAATGACTCTGTGCACCTTCCATATATCAGTATATACTTTTGCTTGTGGCGAAGCTACTTGTGATGAGCTTTGATTCTTCATGTGGCTTTCTCTTTTACCACCTGCATTATTATGGTGGTTGTCAGTATGTTAAAGGTACAAAACAGATTTTAATAACAGTGCGCATTGTTGAATTTACTGGTTTACATTCAAATGTTCTTGTTTGTAAATTACAGTTTTATACTGTAAAATGTTTTGGCCATAAATGTGTTTACAGTTTTTCTGTATTTTTTACAAAATTATTCTGGTAACCACAGCTGCCAAAATTATTTTGTAAAAACTACAGAATTTTTTTTACAGTGTAGACAATATCACATAAATATTAACAACAGCAAATAAGCACTTATAAGATAAATGTGAGATAAAACAACATTAATCCAACTCACCTGCACTGCTCATTGATTCCAATGTGTCATTTGTCCCAAAACTCACCAATTAATCTTTGGTTGTTTTTCAGCATTAAGCACTTATAAGATAAATGTCTTATAAGATAAATTTTCAGCACAAATAAGCACTTATAAGATAAATGTGAGATAAAACAATATTAATCCAACTCACCTGCACTGCTCATTGATTCCAATGTGTCATTTGTCCCAAAACTCACCAATTAATCTTTGGTTGTTTTTCAGCATTAAGCACTTATAAGATAAATGTCTTATAAGATAAATTTTCAGCACAAATAAGCACTTATAAGATAAATGTGAGATAAAACAATATTAATCCAACTCACCTGCACTGCTCATTGATTCCAATGTGTCATTTGTCCCAAAACTCACCAATTAATCTTTGGTTGTTTTTCAGCATTATTTACTTGAACTAAAAATATTTTTTACAGCACATGACAAACATTCTAGAAATATCAGAGATGGGTTAAAGGAGAGAAAGTGGTAGAGTTTTATGCTAAACATACAGTAAAAGAGACAGAAAATTATCACTCTGGTCCCCTAAACTCTTTGCAGATGGCCATGACTGGAAACTGAAATTCTGTCTCACAGCATAAACAGAAAGGGCCGCTCTGTGACGGACACAAATGTGGGAGAGTCAAAACATGTGGGATCTGAAACCATTACATCTGCCTAAAGTTCAGTCTTTGACAGCTTTGACCCCTAATCATCCCCATATTGACCTCAACCTTCCTTGAGGTCAACCATCAATTGGTTGTTTGTCTTTTTGGCCCATTCCCTGACTGATTAAGGGAAGTGTGTTTTATTGATGGCTAAAAGTCACAGAGAGGCCATGATGTGCACTTGCTGTTCCTACTTGATTCCTACTTAACTGCCCATAAGTTATACATGGCTGTCAATTGTGTTACCCAGCTAAGAAAAGCATGTTCTACGAACGTTTTGCTAACGTTTCCATTAAGTTATATAAACATTATATCAGAATGTTCTCTGAATATTTAAAACATCCAGTTTTGTAACGTTTAAAAAAAATTATTGTTATGAAAGCATTAAGGGAACATTCCATTTTATAATTTCGCGTTAGTTCTGAATGTACTCAGAACACTCTGAAACAACATTTAAACTAAAATCATGTAACAAAATAATGTTTTTGAGAACTTTATGAAATACTTGATAACTATGAACAAATGTTATTTTAATATTACTGGAAAAAAACTTTGTTCATAACTTTAATACAACTTAGCCAGTACGTTAGCCAAAGTTCTGAGAATGCTGCCAAAGCTCTTCCTGTTTCCCTTACATGGTCTAAAATGTAAAACTTGATCTAATGTGCAAATTCATCATGCTCACAAAATAAATATCTCTTTATATTGGACTGTGAAGCCGTAGTTTTGTTGAATATATATCTATCTCAGCGAAGAGAAAGCTATTTAATGATATAACACATAATGAATCATTCATTTTTTGATCATTTTTCTCTCTTTCAAATCATTCCATATGATCCATATGTACTTATATTGTGTCTAAAAGAAACTTTTTCTGCCAGTTTAATTTTCGATAGCCATGCAGAACTTGTTAGCAAGGTGTTGGGTGATGTTCCTTGCACAAATGTCTCATTTAGGACATACATGGTCAATATTACTCGTACCAAGATTTTTATGTTATTTCAATCCTGCAATAAATGTGGTTTTATTAATGGGGAGGACTTGTATCTAATTAAACCATATTTGTTCTGAGTTCATTCTTGTCTTACATTCAGATTTAGGAGTGATTTCACTTAAGAGTTTCACTCAACACATCTGAATATTAACGAAAAACAAAAGTGCAAGATTTATTCTACCTATAGGCTGTGTATGACACACAATCTAACACTGCCATCCTTGCTCTGATGTTTGAACGTGTGAACTGCACATTCAGGCTGCTTGTTCTTTGGGTGATGGTGGATGTTGCTCACAGGCTTTTCTTGTAACTAGGAATATGGTCAGGTCTGGGCCAAAGAATCTTCCATCTTAATTTAACAGACGTTCATGTTCACTCAGTCTGCCATATGGAGCCCACACATCAGTCTGTCTTCTCAAAGTCTCCATTTATCCTTTCCTGAGGTGTTTCTCCTTTAAAGTGCACAAATAATTCCAGATGGATCAAAGATGTGAGTCTGCCTTTAAAAAGCTGCTATGAAGTGGCAGTGATTGTTTGGTTGCCCTGTGTAGGGCAATTAACAGAGCTTGACTTTTTAACAAAATACCGTTGAAGAATGGTTGGGGGGACAGAAACATGTTTGTCCTCTACGTGCTGACATACAGACCCCTTGCTCTGATGTTTGAACGTGTGAACTGCACATTCAGGCTGCTTGTTCTTTGGGTGATGGTGGATGTTGCTCACAGGCTTTTCTTGTAACTAGGAATATGGTCAGGTCTGGGCCAAAGAATCTTCCATCTTAATTTAACAGACGTTCATGTTCACTCAGTCTGCCATATGGAGCCCACACATCAGTCTGTCTTCTCAAAGTCTCCATTTATCCTTTCCTGAGGTGTTTCTCCTTTAAAGTGCACAAATAATTCCAGATGGATCAAAGATGTGAGTCTGCCTTTAAAAAGCTGCTATGAAGTGGCAGTGATTGTTTGGTTGCCCTGTGTAGGGCAATTAACAGAGCTTGACTTTTTAACAAAATACCATTGAAGAATGGTTGGGGGGACAGAAACATGTTTGTCCTCTACGTGCTGACATACAGACCCATATATATATAACACACACAGACAGAAAAAAGCACAGAGGGAGCAGAATACAGAAAGACAGAATTAAGGGGACTGTTATCTGCGAGTTTTTATTTATGGTTTCCTGTCTGGATGAAGTGTTATGTCACGGCAACTCTGCACCTTGAGGGCAATGGGCCAATCACATCAAATCTGTCAAAGATAGCTGCCAATTTAAATTAATTAATAGGTGATATTTGTAAAGAATCACACTAAGAGACATTTCAAAATGTATATGAGGTATTTAGACTGTCGTGTTTGCCATATAAAAAAGACTTAAGAGTGCATTCAGACACAGATATATCAATGCAATGCAATGAATATGAATTAATTTTAAATTAACTTCATATGTGTACACACACATGTATATTTAAACAATTGAAATGTTTTATATTTTGTATATTTCACATTGTTTGTTAAATATTTTTTACATTCATTTTATTGCATTTTCATAATTCGCGTTGAGAGTAATGAATGAATTAGGAGTAATAATATATAGTATAATATAAATATAGTAATAATACAAATGAAATAGTAATAAATAGTATACTATAAATGAAGTGATAATACAAATCACATAGGCTAGTAATAATATTTTTATGTAATGTTTGAAAAAATATTAAGAGAAAAAATATTTAGTATTTACTGCATAAAAATGACAATTTATTTATTTACTCTTTAAAGCCTGTCTAAATACTTTATGTTTGTCAATGCAGAGGAGGGAGACTAAAACACCATGTCAACAGAATATTTTGTTACAGAAGTGCTTGTCTTTCGATTTTTACTAAATACTAATCTATTTCTTTCAGTGTTTGACCTCTAAGAACGTCTACTTGCCATCACTGGCAGTTCAACACACTTAGGCTACCAAACCACCCAGAAATGGAGGTCATACCCAGAATGCCTCACTGATGCTAATGGTAATAATGGGAAATCAGACATCAGTGTTGCAGCAAAAGTAGCAGACAAGAGTTCACTCATTCAGGACTAATTTGGCAATACGTGCCAGATCCCTCAGATAAGCAGTTGATCCAGAGAAATTACAGAGCCTCTCACAGCCCCACACAGAGAGCTTGAGCTCTGCGCTTACTCCTGCCACAATCATGGGTGTTTCTGGCAATAAAACAAAAGTGTAACTTGATACAACTGTTTGACGTTTCTTTTTCTCTGGATTTCATGCTTTTTATCACCAAGCATGCTCTTTCATTAACCTCTGACCTCTCTACCACTAGGAGTGCAGGATGGCTCAGTGAATGTGAAGAGGGTAATTGGAGCAAGAAGAGGGGGATAAACAAAATTAGCAGTTGACTCCAATAGTCTGATGTATTTTTCTTGAAGACAGTTAAAACCAAAAACATTTTTAATACAATATTTCATCACTTTTTATTCTACACAAGCGAGATACATATATCTATCTATCTATCTATCTATCCCAAAGAAATTGTAAAGGTCAATCATCTAAAACTATTTTTTTACTTCATAATCAAAACGTTATACGATTAGGAAAGTTATATAAAATAAAATGTTATATTTTATTCGCAACATTACACTGACTAATATAATAGCATATAAAATATGTGTCAGATAATAATTTTTTTTTAAAAAAAACAGGCAAATGCCGAGGGCACAAGCGAAGGGGCCTTTCTAGGGTCTTGAACGTGGCAGTCATTATACACAAACATGGCGGCCAGATGAGAAAGTAAAGTTAATTTCCGCGTGTGTATGTTGAAAAATACCATTTAACCCTACATATATTTGTTTTTGATAAAAACCGATTTGCAATTTAGTTGCAAGTAACTTTACAGGCTACTGAGAATGGCTGCGTGGGCTGGATTTTCAGAGGAAGAACTGCGAAGAATGAAACACAACGGCGAAGTCGGTGAGTACGAATGTTGTAACTTTACTTAGAAACGGTTTTCATTCTTGCAGTCTGCCTGTATATGAAATGAAATGCACACATAATGATGCTGATTGTTATTGTGTAAGTTATTAAGTGTGGAAAATGTCTCGAATCATATGTGTCGACTTGCGCACCTAGACGTCGTGTATGGATCCTCTTCTAGATTTTAAGACACAGCCTCTAACTCTAATTGTGAATACTGATAAGTCTGCTCTAATGTGCTCTTATCCAGTAAACCAGGCTGTGTCTGTCACATTGGGTCGTGGCCGGAAAGCTGCTCCGACTAACCGGAGCAGACAGCAGCTGCAGCGGGAAAGGGCTCTGCAGCTGGCAGCCAAACAGGAGGAGGACAGCCACTCTCTTCCACCCGACCAACAGCTTACCAAGCCCCCAGACCCGCCTGCTGTCAGTCACCCCGCTCCTGTCAAACCACGGGACGAGCCCAAACCGTTGGAATCGCAACTGGTTGAAGCAGAACCTGTTAAACATGACCCAGAATCACCTGCAGAGTTTGCACCACCAGCAGTCATCAAGGAGCTGGACAAACAGCAAGTGGAATTGTTAGTAAGTCTATTTCCTATGCAAACACTGACTCAGAATACTTTGTTAAATATTAATAATATTTTATATTAAATATATTGTTTTTAATTTATATTACTGTACAAGATAATATATTTGTATCATATTTCATCCCTAAATGTATGTATTTATTTATTTCCCTAATTTTTTTTTGCATTGTAACACGGGTTGCCATGTTTTTTTTCTGTGGAATTGGACACTTTTTGTATCATTCAAAAAACCTCTAATGCCTGTTATATATAATAGAATAACGCTAACTCAAAGTGTTCAAAAACCCTGGTTATATTAAAGTAATATACATTGAATTTGTAGGAATCAGAGTAGATACCATAAGTTATTTTTGTGTTGTAATGGCTTAAGATGCCACCAAACTTTTCTTATAACAGGCGGGAGAAGAACCGTCTGCAGCAGTTGCAGTGGGAGCAACGGATAATGGAAGAGAAGAATAAAAAAAGAAAAGCTCTCCTTGCAAAAACCATTGCTGAAAAGTAAGAGCAAATGTCTATTTTTAAACAATTATCAAAATCGGTCTGTCTGGAGTATGATAACCTTTTGCATGTACGATAATCCAAAGGTGTTATGTGAAAAGCAGAATGTTGAAAATATAACTTCCTGTTTCCCAGGTCCAAACAGACACAGGCTGAAGCTGTGAAACTGAAGAAGATCCAGAGAGAACTTCAGTTACTGGATGATTCTGTGTCCAGCGACATCGGGATTCTTAGAAAACTGATAGAGCAATCAAGCATGGATTATTCCCTGGCATGGTAAATGTTAATTGCAGGCCCATTTTTACAGACCATTCTAACGGTACTGTAAATCAAGTTCACAGTAGTTTTGTGTTGAAATTGCTCTCACTTTGTTTTATGTGCCACTTCCTCAGATCTGTCACCTTAAAATAGCAAATCTACAGTAATAGACTAACTTAGTACATTCAGTGCATGCGTATAGAAGTCTGTTTGCTCAGGGGTGAAAATACTGCCCTCTGTAGCATTTCTATATTAATTCGGCCAAATTATGAAAGAGACAAATGCATGCACATCTAAATTATTACTTGTAGCAGAACATTATCATAGTTTTTATTTATTTTTGCTAGTTTTGTTATTCAGTTTACTTTTGAACACTTTAACCACTTATATATTGTAAAAAGTATATTTGTATGTAACTGGTGTGTGCATGCATATATATATATATATATATATATAGAAATAGTTATATTTAAGAAAATATTTTAGCAGTAATTTATAATAATCTTTCATTTTTATTAATTTTTTATAATAATTTTCTCTAAAATATTTTGATAATCTTTCTATTTATTTTACAAGCTGTCTGTAATCAGTTGAGCGTGTACTTGTATTTGAGTACAGCAAAATGGTTGCGATTCCTGTGCACATCAAGTTTAGAATATGCATTTCTATACATCTAACTCTCCTGTCTCTGCCAATCTCTTATTGTTGACAGGAAGCGCTTTGAGAAAGCAGAGGCTGAGTATGTTGCCGCTAAGATGGACTTGCACAGGAAAACGGAGGTGAAAGAGCAGCTGACAGAGCACCTGTGTGCAATCATCCAACAGAATGAGCTGCGCAAGGCCTGCAAACTGGATGAGTTGATGATTCAGCTAGAGCTTAATGCTGAGGATGTCCCCATCCCAGAGGAAACCGATCTAGAGGACAAAGAGAGGGAGGCCAACTCCCAGCCTGTTACTAAAAACGGTCCTGCAGCAGACACGGAGGGGCGTACAGAGGTGGATGGCTCAAGTATGAGCAAAGACAGTTCCATTACAGAACCAACGATCAGCCAAGACAATCAGGAGAGCAAAGCAACAGATGTTTCTGCAGATGGGCTAAGCTAGCTTCCAAACATCATCAGTTTAATAGAGGCTGTATGACGGTTTACATAACACTTGCTACCAACTTTAGAAATTGTGAGAGTGTTGAACAAACCAACAATCCTGCATTTTGTGAGGATAAAGGCAGCCTCAGTGTGATATTGGTGTCAGGTTTCCAAATACTGTGAGCGTTATTCCATTACTACTACTACTAGCATTAAAAATGCCTGAACATTACAGGGCTAAAATATTGATTATGATCTGTTAAGCTCGGTTTTTGGTTATAATTAAGGGTGCTACATGATCTTAAATGTGGGCAGTTAAAATGGTATGCATTAGGTAAATGGAGTACAAATCTCTTGAAAACATTGTGCATCTTAAAAACACTATAAAAGACTAAATACTGTTAACTTGATTGTTTTATAACTTTGACATTATTCAAAATGGAATAGACAATACAATACTGGTGGTAGTTTGTAGCTGTGATTTATTTCCCATGATGTTGCACAAGTGAATGGTGGAATCTTTTATCTGTATATGGGTTTTATCATACAAAGCTGACAGTTTGCTCAGCAGAGATGAGAACAATTGATTCGTACTGTAGAGGAAAAAACTGTTGAAGTGTGGGAAGTTGAATGAATGGCATAGTTTTTTTTTTAATACGTATGTTGTATCATTTATACTTTTCTAATAAAACTCAGATACACCATGCAGAGCTTTGCACCAACACTAAAACATTTAACATTGTATAACAGTACGGTTATGTTATTTAAAAATGTTTTTAAAATATATTATGAATGTCATGCATTTGACTATATTCGTGTGCATTATATTGACTATAAAATATGCTATAAATTCAATATTTAAATGATCTGTTGGTGAATAAAGTGTTTTGATATTTTAACTGATTTTGTACTTTTTATTGCACACCTCATAGCATGTTTAAAAATGATCCTTTGGAATACACTTTGCATTTTTGCTTGTGTTTTAAACATTGTTTAAAGTGGTAATGCATTCGTTATTTGTAAATAATATGGAAACTGTTGATCTCATATTTTCATATAACGGTTTATTTTATAAACGAATTTAAGGAAAGCCACAAACCCTATTCAAGTGTCTCTCGAAAGGCTCCTTATATCCACCTAAAACTCTACGGCGATTCAGTAATGTCTGGACAGCCCTTGAGAAACACATAGACAAATATTTGCAAATTAACATTTTTAACATTGCTCTTTTACTCCATCATCGACTTAAAGCAAAAATATTGATACTAATATTAATTTTCATATGTACTAGTAAAAATGTATTAAATCAGAGCCATTGTATGAAGTCATCACGATATGAAATACAATATTCTATTCTTTTCTATTCTGGTTTGACTATATAAAACAAGCACTGACAAATCCTGGAAGTAAATACAGGAAAGGAGATTTTCGTGAAGCTCAGTTTGTGAGAGCGCATTTCTGATTTATGTGCCCTCCGTCCGTCGGGACAGGTTGAAAAGACTTCGTAACCCGAGAAACTCGAGGGAAAAAAGAAAAAAAGCGCACGAGATCAACTTTTACTGAAACATTCTGCCTTCTGGCAAGTCATTGGTTATCCGGTTTTGATCATGATGATTATGCTACATAATGTAAAATGAAAAGCAACGACTGTTAATGCTATTTCATTTTAAAAGTCATTATGTTAATTAAAGTCATCTCCGTCATCTTATTGTAACATCCTATTTTAATCTACATAAAAAAAATACACTTCTAAAAAAAACCTTAACATACACACAAAATCGTTGTAGCCTAATCTAAAATGTTTACAGTTTTATATTGTGAGCATATTAAAATAGCCTAAGGAACAAACGCTAATTAGAAACATAACAAATATCATAAATCAATACAAAAGTGCTTAGCCAACTGCATTAAATCGTGAGATAAATCAGACAGATTTAACAGAACATTTTAACACTGAGAACAATATTGCCATGGTTTTGATAGGCCTAAAACTTTTTGTTAGACCATATTTGTAAATATGTAAATTTGTAAATATGGTCTAACAAAATATGATTTACTACGACTTTGTCGACGGAATTCCTCCTGTTAAACACGATCAAGTGCGGTAGTGCTGTCCATTGACCCCTGGTGCTGATTAGACGACCGCGAGCTTTTATTTCACTAATTACAATTAAAGTGCCTCCTTCTGTGCCTCGCACTTCATATCCTGCGCGAAAAAACACACGCAGACACGCGCGCTCTGATGATAGAGTCAGGGGAATTCAATTGTGCGTGTCGCTCAACTTTCCATCTAAAACTAGTTCAAGTCCTATAATGTTAATGGTGTCGTGAGCAATAACTGGACGACTTCTGTTTTTAAGTACGTTTTAAAGACATTAGCCTATGTCTGAAAAATTCTGTGCTGGTTTAGTCAGACCTGGGCCATATTAAAACATGTTTGCAAATAATGTATCACTACTGATGCGAGAATGCTGCTTATTGTAAGATTGCGTGGATACTACCAAACCAAATAAAGTCCCATTTGCCATTCTTGTATTATAGTGTGGCTATAAAGGCGCATTAAAATGGTCGTACAGATTCCTTGACAAATTGCTCAGTGCTTCTTCTTTATTATTTCCGTGTAAGAAGATCTTGTGTATATTGTTTTAACTACTGTAAACTGGATACTTTTAAACAATCGGAATATACACGCGTTTTTAATTCGTGGGCTCAGTGGGCTGTCATGGGCTTTCCATTACACGATTATGTGGATACAAAATATGTAGGCTATAGCCTATATACTCTGAGACGTGAACTGAAGTGTATTGTCCATGTTCTGGGTTTTATTTCGATTACTAATTAACTCCTTTTGTAATTCATGAGTTTAGCTGGATTGTTGAGTCTGTGTTTATCACAATGCCATAAAGTCAATCCACAGAGTTATGAGTCATGTTTTCAATTACGCACGTAGGCTACATTATAAAAGCATCTGTGGAAAAATCCTAACAGGCAAGAAATACATTTACAAAATACATTTCAATGATGATTTGTACGCTGGTGTTTTTGAATCATTTAAAAAATATTTGTATTAGGCTGTTATTATCCTATTATTATTACTTTTATTAATGTTCATTTACATATTTAAAGCGAAATATAATAGCCTTTCATTTCGTTATTATGTCCATCTATTTACAGCCTTCCCAAGATCATGGAAAACTTAAGGATATCGGGAAGATTGTGCTTTACAGGCCAGGAAAACTGGCCTGGAAAATGGAGCTGAATAAAATTTAAAAAACGTAATTTATTCTAGTTCAGCTCTAAAACATTTAGTGCAGTTTCTTTATATTTTATTTTATCTCAGCAATATCAAATGAATGGAACTCATTTAAAGTCATGGAACTCCATTGATCAAATATATTTGATTTTCAAATCAATGGAATTCGATTAAAATTGAAGCAATGGAAATTGTTAAAGCACACTTTGGGGTAGCTGTCCAAATTATAAATCTGTCTAAATTTAAGCTGTCGGTCCAAAGTCATCATGAACCAGAGGGAAAAAAACTTTGAAAGTTTGGATTTTGACAGGCCATAAACAAACCCCAATCTCTTTCAACTGCGACGTCTGCGTTCAAGCGATGATGGACATGCGCCACACGGATTTGACATTGGACTGAAAAACGTTTTGCTGGTTGTGGTCGAAAGGAACGGTTTTACAGACTGTCTTCTTTTGCACGATCTTTCAGCCCGATAGCAGGCCTTTTGAGAGTAGTCGCTTGTAGAGGAGCTGGCAACTGAAGGAATGTAGAGGGAAAACTAATGATGAAAAAGGTCTACTCCATCCCAACAGCGGCTTAATTAAATACATGGAAAGAAGGAAAGCAGCACATCTGGTTTCAATCCGTTTTCCTTTGATGGCATCAAGTGTTCTTTTCCCAGATCTGGGGCTGGAAGCTACGGGATGTCTGTGGCAGTGAGGAGCTATAGACTTTTGCCATTGAAACACATGGACATCTACCTTGTGAAAGCCCCCACTTATAACTCACCAAGTGGTCTGACACTACTCCCGTCCCAGCTGGAGATGTGTAGGCCACTGCAGCCAGAACTTTCTCCTGTTTTTGGTTTGACCGATAACGTATATTTGCCCAAGTCTATATGACAAAACGTTATTTTTTAAAACGTTTTAGTGTTTAAACATCAATAGCTAATGCATGTGCATTGTTATGGTTATCAGAATATTCTTATAGGCTATGTGGTAGGCTACTATACAAATCTTTAAAAAATCTCTTATTTTTAAAGAACGCCAACCAACATTATTTGAGGGCGCTCAACGAACGAATCAATTGGCAGAGTAGACATCATCGTTTAGCTAATGGAAAGGATGCTATGCAAGGAAGCCAACGAAAACGCTGAATGCGTAATCAAAAATGCCTTCCCAAAAATTACTGTGACATAGGACCGTTCACACCGAAAGGTTAGTATTCTACTGAGCTGCTTTTCTGTTTTTCTTTTCTTTTTATGTAAACACGCGCTAAACTGAAGTATTTTGAGCCAACATCTAGCATTTTTGCAACATTTTGCGCATGACACCGCGTTCTAAAGACGAGGCGTTTTCCCATTCCACTTTTAAACGCAAAAACGCGTTCTGTGTCTCTTTGACGGTTTAACCTTACGGCCTCGTTTTCATTCGCGTAAAAATTAAAGATGGCGTCTGACTACTACAGCTATAGGTATTCAACTAAACCATCCCATTAATGGATGTTTCCTGCAAACTTTACAAATGTCTTTGTGCCACCACTCACTTGAACATTGTTTTGAGCGAAATGATAATAAGTGACAGATATCTGGAATTCAGAGTTTGGGGAGGGTTAACCTTCGAAGGGAAGCTGTGATGGAGGAGGGAGGGGGGGCTGTTAAACGTCAAAGACAGCACAAAGTCTTTTGCCACATAATTACGAGAGCCTTTCAGCTCCATCTTCTCTCCCAGGGGTCTCAATTTTTCATTTACAGTCCACTCCACTGCATGCCAGTGAGCGCGCCGTTTGAAGTGCCAGAACACGCGTGTGTGTGTGTGTGTGTGTGTGTGTGTGTGTGTGAGAGCAGAGCGCACGGCGTGGAGCAGAGGAGAGAGCCAACAGCTTAGGGAAGGCGGTGCGTGTCCTGCCTCCTCTCGCTGCTTTACACACATGCATCTGAAAGGCATCAGCATTTCTGGATCAGCGCTCAGTCAACAACTGCGTGGAGCTCTGGGAGTTTTTTCTTATTGAACCAACAATACTTTGCAGAAAGATTATATGGCTTTGAGTGGACGCATTCAACAGACTTCGTGGTCTTTATAGTCCTATTAAGTTCCACAAAGTTTTATATCAAGTTGAAACATTGCTCCACCTGGATAAGTAGCTATCATAGTGAGCAAAGGCAGCCAAGGCATCGGTTTGGACGCGCTGTTCCTTATGAGTTTGTCTTCAAATTTACGCAAGGAGGACCTGTTTGGTTAACCTAATACACTTGCCCAGTTTTTTTCTCTTGTATCGTATTTGCGTCATGACTTCTAGCTATGCACATGTAATGG